CGCAGCTACTTCTGGGCCTCTGCCAGCAGGCCAGACCACATGCCACCAGGCCTCCCCTGGCTGTGCTGCTGCGGGGAGGTTCCTGTGCAAGAATGCCACCTGGGCTGTGGGCTCATGGCCTCCTTTTGGGAGGAGGGTTGCCCTCTCAGATGCTGATCTGCCCCTGAAGGCACACACACCTCAGTAGGCTGTTCACAAATATCCCTTTTGTGCCCCCGGGCAATGCAAGACCTCGGTGCACGGGATGTGGTCTGCAGGTCTGACCTCTGGGTCCCAGAGTTCAAACTATATCCCCACCAGGGAGAGCAGTACCAGTCCCAATTCACCCACAGGGAGCCCACACTGGGTCTATGTCTCTCAACCTCAGGGTCTACCCCGTTCTCCTGGGATCACCGTGCCAGCAGCACCTGGGAGGGCTGGCGGGTAGGGAGCTCACAGTCTGAGTTCCCCTTAGTCAGCTGTAGGGCCCTAAAAGGGAAGGTCCATTCCCTGTAGGTGCCTCCGGCTGGTGGTTATATTGTCTCTCTGGGCAGCTACGGGTAGGGTCGGCGGAGGGGAGGAGGAGGCAATATGGCGCCTGCCTCGCGGCTCGGGTCTGTGCACATGGAGGTGCCCTGAGGGGGTTGGGAGCCTGGTGCCGCGTCTGCTACTGGCTTTTACCGCTCACTGGCAGTGGCCGTCACTGGGCTGGTGTCCGCAGGTCTCTCCACTCGCTGGGGAGCCCACCAGCAGTCCGGGATGCAGGGGAGGGGAAACGGCCGATTCACCTACTCTTCCCGCTGGTCTCCGGGCTGCTCCGGGGGTCCTAGCTTCCAGTTCTCCTCTGTGACCTCCTCCTGTGGGGTCTCCCGTGGTCTCAGGTACTCCTCCTTCTGACCCTCATCCGATGTAGGCTCCTCGTCTTGCTTCTTTCTTCTAATTTCTCATGCTGTTTTGATTACCATGGCCTTTTAGTATAATTTGAATTCAGATAACGTGATGCCTCCAGAGTTGTTCTTTTTACTTAAGATTGCTTTGGCTATTTGGACTCTTTTATGGTTCCAAATAAAGCTTAGAATTATTTTTTTTAGATCTGTGAAATACAGTGCTGGTCTTTTGATGGGCATTGCATTGAATCTGTAGGTCACTTTGGGAAGTATGGACATTTTAATGTTGTTGATTCTACCAATCCATGAGCAGGGGATGTTTTTCTATTTGTGTCATCTGCAATTTCTTTCATCCGTGTTTTGTAGCTCTTCTTGTAGGGATCTTCAACTTCCTTTAAGTATATTCCTAGATATTTTCTTTTTTAATTAATTTATTTTTTTTGAGACAGAGTCTCGCTTTGTTGTACAGGCTAGAGTGAGTGCCGTGGCGTCAGCCTAGCTCACAGCAACCTCAAACTCCTGGGCTCGAGTGATCCTTCTGCCTCAGCCTCCCGGGTAGTTGGGACTACAGGCATGCGCCACCATGCCCGGCTAATTTTTTATATATATATCAGTTGGCCAATTAATTTCTTTCTATTTATAGTAGAGACGGGGTCTCGCTCTTGCTCAGGCTGGTTTTGAACTCCTGACCTTGAGCAATCCGCCCGCCTCGGCCTCCCAAGAGCTAGGATTACAGGCGTGAGCCACCGCGCCCGGCCATATTCCTAGATATTTTTATTTTCTTTGTAGCTATTGTGAATGGTATTGAGTCCTTTATTTGGCTCTATACTTGACTGTTATTAGCACATAGAAATGGTACATTGATTTTATAACCTGAGAATTTGCTGAATTTATCAATTTTGGGGGTATTTTGGTGAAAATACAAGATCATATCATCAGCAAACAAGGATACTTTGACCTCCTTTGTCCTGATTTGGATGCCCTTTATTTCCTTCTCTTGCCTGATATCCTCTGGCTAGGGCTTCCAATACTATGTTGAATAAAATTGGTGATAGAGGGCAGCCTTGCCTTGATAAAAGACACAGACACAGACACAGACACAGACACACACACACACACACACACACACACTTTTGTGCAAAATTCCAGATATTCAGAAGCCCATTCCTGAAACCCTCTGCCTCACAGAACCAAAAGGTTCTCCTGCTATTCAGTGGACAGTGTCCCTTCCTTATTTCCTCTGTCAGGAGCTTTTGAGTGCCAGCTATGTCATAGTGTCAGTGTCGTAATTCACTTTAAAAAAGACTTTGGGGGCTGGACATGGTGGCTCATGTCTGTAATCCCAGCACTTTGGGAGGCCAAGGAGGGATGATTGCTTCAGGCCAGAAGTTTGAGACCAGCCTGAGCAAGAGTGAGACTTCATCTCTACGAAAAATAGAAAAATTAGCAGAGCGTGGTGGCGTGTGTCTATAGTACCAGCTATTCTGGATGCTGAGGCAGGAGGATCATGTGAACCCAGGAATTTGAGGTTGTAGTGAGCTAGGATCACACCAGTACACTCTAGCCTGGGCAATAGAGCGAGACCCTCTGCCTGGAAGGCAGCCTACCCAGAATGTCCAAACTCTGGGATCATGTGGTTTCTCGAAACCCACCAGCCTGTGGCCACCACAGTCTGGGTAGGAGTTGGGAAATGTTTGTGTGGGGGCCAGCAATATGAGAATTAAAGCACTGAACTTCCCTGGGGAGGACAAAGGCACACAATGGGTAGAGAAGCAGTATGGGTGACCGTCTCTGCTTCAATGGGGAGTAACCCTAAGGGGGTAGCAGCAGGGTGCTCTGCTTTCAGGAAACTCCCATTTCACTGGTGGCAGCAGTTTTGGGGTTCATCAGAGTAGAAAAGCTTGCCATCAGCTCCAGTGCCTGCTGAATACCAGAGGTGTGAAGGAAAGAGAAACAAAACCCCCACCTACCTAAGTTTCCCAGGGGTTGATCTGTGCTGAAATCTTGCTCCTGTTCTGCAGCAACTTCCTGTGGAATCTCTGGTAGGTTCTGGCACTTTTTCCTCTGAATTACATCTGAGCTATGTTATGTTTTTATTTTATTTTATTTTTTTAATCTAAAACTTTTCCTACTTTCTGAGACCATCTGGTGACCAATGTCTCTAGTCAGCCATCTTTCCTCCTCAGTTCTTTTACATTTTAGTTTGTTTTATGGCCCATGATATAATCTGTCTTGGTATATGTTAACACTTGAAAAGCATGTATATTTTACTGTTGCTGGATGGATGGCTTATCCTATAAATGTAAATTAAATCTTACTGGGTGATGATGGTGTTGAGTTCTATGTGCTCAAGAGTTTGTGTTTAGCTGTTCTATCAATTGCTGAAGGAGGATTCCTGTAGTGGCCAAATGTAGTTGTGGATTTCTCTATTCAGTTCTACCATTTTTTTGGTTCACATGTTTTGTACCTCTGTTGTTTGGGGTGTACACATTTAGGACTCCCCTATCTTCTTGATATACTGACCCTTTCATCACTAGGTAATGTCCCACTCTAGTATTTTTCTTTGTTTTGAAGTCTACTTTATCTGATATTAATACAGCCTATTCTTGCTTTCCTTGGATTAGTTTACCCGATATATATTTTTTTCGTGCCTTTAGCCTGCCTATGTTGTTGTTTGAAGTGAGTTTCTTGTAGACAGCATACAGTTGGGTCGTGTTTCTTAATCCATTCTGCCAGCATACCTTTTAATTGGTATATTTAAACCATTTACATTAAGTGTGATATGTTAGCATATAAATCTGACACCTTATTATTTCCTCTTTGTTGCTTTCTTTTTCCTGCTCTATCCTGAGTTACCTGAACATTTTTTAGAATTCAATTTGTTTTTGACTATATCTTTGTATAGCTTTTTCAGTAATCGTATTAGGTATTTCATTGTATATTCATAACTAATCAGTCTACTATAGTCATTTTACCAGTTTGAGTGAAATGTAGAAAACTTGCATTCCTGTAAGTCCTTTTATTCTTCCCTGTTTATAATTGTTTTAAATATTTCCTATGTATTCAGAAGCACCTTAGACAGTGCTATAATTATTCTTCAATTATTATTTACCCTTGTTTTCTTTCTTCCTGATGTTTCAACTTTCCTTATCATTTCCTTTCTGTTTAGAGAACTTCCTTTAACCATTCTCTTAGGGTAGGTCTGCTGGTAACAAATTCCCTGAACCCATCTGGCCCATCTATCTGAGACCTAGTGGTGGCCCAACAAAACTACATTAAAATATAGATGTGGATGCCACCCCAAAGGTAGGGCCTGAACTAACAGAATTACTCTTTTAGAATATAAAGGTCTGAGGCGAAAGGGCATTATAATATATCAATGAGACAATAGGGGTGGGAAAGGTTTGAAGGAGAACTGGGGATGTCCTAACTTTTGAGATTATCATTTGTGGGAGACTTGTGATGAGGTAGGAGATGGAATAAAGCACACACAAAAAAATCAAGGGCCAAAAGCAGAGGGCAGACAGCGATGAAGAAAATACACAATTGCCTTTTCGCCCCACAAAAGAATGTTCTTTTCCTCAACTAAAAATGCCAATCTACTAACTTCTTCAAGTTCTAGCCTAAAGCACTGTACATTTTGGGTTAGCAAACAGGTGAGAACAAATCTCTCAGCCTGTTAAATATCTCTGAAACTCATATCAGCAAGAGAAAATGTTGATGTGGTCAAGCTATTTACAAGCTGTTGCCACAGAATCACCTTACCTGATCATCCAACATTGACCTCCATTTCATAGAGGCGGAAGATGGGAAGGAAATAACTTTCATTTGCCCTTAGATGGGCAATGAAAGGGTCTGCAATTTCTGCCTCTCCTTTAAGCATCCTGGTTCTCATAATCCCCTACCACCCACAACTTCTCCAATCATCCAATACTCTAACCCTTCCTTTTAGAAATGAGAAAAGGGGTGCTGTTATTCCAGGGTCATATCTATAATGTCATATTTCCCACTTCAGTGGCCACAAAGCAATAAAGGAAAATGTTGGCCTCAAATTTGAGAATTCTTAAGTGATTAAGAACTCTTTCCAGATCCAAGACATCCACAAACTTAAGAAAAAGAATGCGCACATAATGATTTAGTTGGCTTTCTCTTTTAATCAAAAACATACTTTGTTACAGAGTTCTCAAGAAAGGTTCAACTATTTTTTAGCCACAGACTTCAACCAGGCAAAAGTATACAGAAAGCCACAAAGGAACTACTGGAGCTTCAGCTGACCAGTTGTTCTAAAAGCAGAAGCTAAGAGTGGCTCTTCTCTGGGTTTTGGCATAGCTGCATTCCTCTGACTTCAGGGGAAGAAACAGAGTTGGGAAATACCACCACCAAATCTGTCCCCAACCCCCCAGTCATTTCGTTCACACTGAGCTCTGCAGCCCACCAGGTTTTTGTCATCTGCAAGCATTCATACCTTTCACATGTCCAATGCATTGAACAGAACCTAATACTTGGAGAAGGTTTGCCAACTCCAAGTTTAGCCTTTCAATCCATCTAAGCCCATGAGTCCTTCTATCAATGACAAGCAGCCTTAGCAACAGCAGCTGGTTTCATCCCTTCCTCTCCAGCTACCACAAAAGCTGGCCTCTACCAGGACTCTCTAACCCCCCACCCTCAACCCAGCCCCAAGGAAGGGAAGTTCCCCAGGTCCTTGAAAAAGCCAAGTTCATTAATTATACTCATCCAAGGATAGGCTGGAAGAGAACTCTGAAAGGAATGATCCAGCCAAAAGTCATCTAATCAAAATAGACATAAGAAGAGCTGAGAATAAAGTGAATAATGATCTGCAGGTATTGTTTTCTTGAGTCATATAAACCATTTTAATTGATGCAGTTTGGAGGAATTCCCGTTTTGAGCATAGAAGAGTTAAGAAACCAAAGACCCAAAATAATGACCGCTAATAATCATTAGGCATTAACAGTAGGTTTTCAATCCATTTCAGTTGAAAAACTGTTACCAGCACACAGCACTTAGGAGGATGGTGTCACAAACATACCAACTTGAAAGCTAGAATGTCCTGACTCAAAGAAAGCCTTAATAAACTCTGACCAGAGATGATGGAAAAATAAAATAAAGGCTTTTCCCCCTTTCAATTTTTTGTGGGTTTTTTGTAAAGTATTGCAGCCCCTAAGGTGGTGCTTGGCCTTTGGTTAAAATTAACTCTTAAGAACATACTATGTAACTTTTTGTCCGTAGGAGAACAGTAATAAAATATCAAGCCTAGTGTCATTCGAATAACATGGAAGTAAGTAAAAAGCCCCCTCAAACAGCAGACCAAAGATAAGGAAGAAATTCAAAACTGCTGCAAGGTAGGCAAGGTCACTTAGAATTTCAGAGCTGGAATAACTAATCTAGTCCAACTCCCTCATTTTACAGATGAGGCAACTGAGGCTCGCAGAAGGTAAATGACTTGCCCAAGGTCACACATCAAAATAGTGGCAGAGCGCAAACTAGAGAGTACAACTGTCTGGCCCAGCCCAGAGCCGTTTCAGGTTGAACACTGGCTCTGGATCTATCAAGAAAGCATCTTAAATAAACTGTGTGAAAAGTATCTACATCAACAGAGAGAAATGATTGTCTTCACCAAAAGTTTCTCCTCAGTCCTTCCTACATTAAAAAAGGAAAAAAGCTTCATTCATTCAAGTCTGATGTTAAAATCCCTGAAAACATCAGCAATTACTTTAGCTACTCCTTGGGGCAGGATATCAGACCCTCAATTGTCATAAAGGCACCTATAGGTCAAAAATATCTGTACAGGAGGAAGGCCAGAAGGCAAGGCTTAAAAGGGGACATCAAAACAAAACAAACGACCCTCTAGATTCTCAAGGTTTGTTTTGTTTGGTTGTGTGTTTGTTTATTGGTGTCCTCTAGGCAACAGTATTACCTCTGGCTAGTCATGCTAATTTAGTAACCCTTGTAACCCCAGTTTTTATATGAGCAGCATTCAAGTGGAAGCAATGAAACCTTTCAAACTATTCTCTAAGGGGGAAAATATGAATATGATTCACTTCTCTCTACTGTAACTACCTGAAACTCAGCAAGAACAGGAAGCACTCTGAGCAGTCAAACTGATGTCAAATGCCAATGCAATGAAGTCCTCTTCAACACTTTACAGGAAAGCATCTTGGATCCTGTCCCAGAATTTGTACTTGTGTTTTAAAGTAAGTTCTAGTAAGTTTGGTTATCTGGTTTCCTTGCCTAAGCAGTTAGATATATCAATCAGAAAGGGAAGAAGAAAATGCTAAGGGGAAGCACACTAACAAGCGCATATGAAGTGGCAGCTGTCAGAAAGGGAGAAGACCAGAAGGGGACGGAGAGGTTTAAAGAACTAAAAATTCAAAACTATAGCAGTCTGAGACCCTTTCATAAAGGCAAAACAGCCCTGCCTGTCTTAGAAGCCCCTGAAGTCCTCAAAGATAGCTAACCAAAAAGAGAAACATTAAATCCAGTATATTCTGATATACACATTAAATAACTCCATAAAAAATGGCTAGAACAAAAAGTTTTCTGCTTAAATAAGGCAAGTTTGGATTATGTGGAAAATTTCATTCCATGGTGATACCAGATAAACAAGAAACCTAGCAACACTGGGACAAGCGTGCTAGGGATAAGGCTGGGCCTAGGATACTGCTTTTTGAACGGTAAGGCCACACTGACTTTGTACATCCTTCTTGTAGAAAAGAAATTACCTAGTTATCAGGGAAAATATGGAAAGGCTTGCACGAGATTCTCATGGCCGATTCTCTGCAATCTTGTAAAGGAACATTTAAGAGATTATTTACAGATAGCTATCTACAACAAGATGGGTTCTACCTTTGAGGGGGGAGCATTTCTTCATGCTGAGTGTGCCCAACCTACAAGAGTTGGTCACTGATTTTACAGGTAATTGTTTTCATGTAGTCATTTACCTCAGTCACCATTTTTCTCAATCTATCATTAAATAAAATGCCAATAAAAATGGCAATGATGAAGGGATGGATTAAACTATAGAAATTATCAACAAAAAGAACTCTGTCCTACTCAGAATAAAACTTCTCTCAAAATGTTCTCAAAAAAGGGCCTGAACTAATCTGACTTTGCATAAAAAAGCTAGTGAGTAACTATTAACTAGTTACTACCCAACCGGGCACAGAAACATTTCAATTTTTTTATTCTTTAACCTCCACAGATACTTCAGGAGCAATTTGGTAAAATGTAAGATTTTCCTTCCCCAGATCGACACAGTCAAAAAGATACCTGCAACTCACCTTCCTACAATCGGCAATAAACTTTAAAAATAAAAAGATATTTATCATCTGGAAGACAGGGCATTTTATTTTGCCTTCAAAATTTGTATAACAAATACCCCCCTTTATACACCATACCCTTTCCCACAAAAATGGATTTTAAATTTGAAATACAACACAGCTAATATGTGTGCAGTTTACTTGGATGTTTCAAGTATGGTTATCATTAAGCCAAACCATACAGCCTATAAACCTGTACTGTTGACAGGAAGAATGGGATAGGCAACCTATTTAGTGGTTATGACAATATAAATGAGCCATGTTTCTGGAAAAAGCAAGGTTATATGGCAGTGATTTATTATCATTATCTTTGCAGACCAGGGGCAGTAAAACTATAAAAAATGAGATAGACTATATCCCATGAAAGAAGCTACACCCTGGAACATGAAGGCAACACTATGAAGCATTCCCTTTGATAATGCACTGAAAGGCACTGGGCAGAAGTGGAATGGGTCTCATAATGTACGTGGTTCATCTCTCATTCAGCTTTCACTGAAGTTCAACATTTTCACTGACGTTCAACATTTTGAGAGTCTCTGAGATACGAATTAGCTAGAGAAAACCCACCCAGAATCATATCCTCACAATAATCAGATTCTGAGAACTGCAGAAACTATTTTACCCTTAAAGTAGACATAAAATTTTAAACCTAGTGAGATTCTTTAGTCGTACTCACCAAAGATGACCACCTCCAAGAAACAGAAATACAGATTAACAACAAAGCTCTCAGGAATAACTGATCATTAACATACTAGATGTTTTCTCAAAAGCATGTAACTAAATCTAGGTACAAATATAAGCAATTAATAACTAGAAGTATTTCTATATTTTTATGGCTCTTAGTAGAAAGAAACCAAGACAGGTGGCTTGGTTCTGAAGAGATACTTCTTAGCAAATATTCCCACATATTCTCCCCAGATGATTAAACATGAAAACCTTCCTTAAAGTAGAAAAGGAGGTAATGGATTATATCAATGCATGGTTAAGGTTTTAATCAATCATCTGGATTTTTAAAAAAATATGTTACTCTCAAACTCTCTCCCTCCTATTCCTCATTCACAGTAAAATGGACCTAAAGTCAAACAAGTTCTACAGAAGAGATCTTTTTATAAATCTGCCAATAAAAGTTAAATCATCAAACTTTTACAGAAGAAAGTTAGGTCTTTAACAAAAGTATTTTAAGTACTCAAGAGTACAAATGAGTTGGTAAAGATGTTATTTAGAAAACAAAAGACAAAGCTTGGATCAAGATCTATGTTTAAATCACAAACAATAAACTCAGTGGTTTCCAGGATGGCCTTATTAAAAAGACCTTCTGAGCAAGGCAGTAGAAGACTTGTTCATTTCAGGTAATATACGGAGGACTGTCACCACAAGTGTTTCTGTAGCTTTACAAAGCCCTCCAAGCAGAAAGTAAAAGCATCTAAAAGATAATTCTTGATTTTATTTCACACTATTTATCCTGTAGACAACCTATTTATCACTGGGTAGACAATCAGGCCTATTTTGCTACAGTAAAATAAAAATTTAAAAAAATAACCAACTCTACACATGATGCATAATGTCTGTGGGGAAGTCCTGGTAGAGTGTGAGGGGAAAAACCAAAGCTGCCCAATAGAACTGGCTGTTGCCTGTCATTTAGTAGAAGGTGTCTCACCACTGAGATTGGATTCAAAAGTGCAAAAGAAAAAAAATCTTAAAAATCAAACCTAGAATTCAACTTTGCATGTTGAGATTCAGTTTTATTTATGCTACTAACTAGGTAAAAAGCATACATATTGTGTCTGTGGTACAGTCAATACATCTGCAACTTTTCTACTGAAATTCTCTATACAAAGTCACTGCCAATTGATATGATCATTGATGGCAAAGGGCTTAGAATAACCACAAGGTATAAAAAAGTTTGCAGTCTTGCCCCAAGATACAAAAACTGAATTTTAAACAATGTCCATAACATACATGATTTAAACAGTATACGAAAAAAAGTCACACATCAAATCAAGTACAAAAATATCCAAACTACCTATTATGAACTGTAATGTTTCCATTATTCTGCACAGTATTTAACATAGAATTTAGCAGTTTCCAAAATACTCATTATTTAGTTTAAGCACTGCCACCTTTGCAGAACAGTATGATATTAGGTAGAGTGACACTGCTTTTAGTGTTTTTAAAAATACAAAACCTTTCCCTATGAATTAATGAAGGAAAAAAGAAATTCCTCTTCTAGGCTTCTTAGTAATCAACCTTGTGCCCAGAAATATAGAAGAATACATCTACTGTTTAACAGGGCAAACGTATACTTCTTGATAAATAAGTCATCCATTAGGGGATAACAAATGTAATTTAAATGACATTTCTTTGTTTGGTAATTCTAAGGAATTCTCAATATACACACAGATTAGTGTTTTTTGCCTTGGCAAAAATAAAACTGAAGTTGCAAGACAATCTGAATTGAAATCATCTTCACTAGTTTAACTTGCAAAAAATATTTTGGATGAAAGGTTATAATACATTGCTATCTTATTTTTTAAACACAGAGTAAAGTTGCTCTTGGTAAAATTAACTCACCCACATGGCACAATATTTTTGGAGTAAAGTATATGTTCAACAATAACTTGCACACAAAATAACATAGGTGAATTAACTTTGAGAACTTCTCTGCCTTTAAAATCAGTTATATTGGATTTATTCTGTAGAATAACACCTATCAATGTTCTGCATATAAAAGACTCTAAGACATTTTAAAGGGCTAAACTTTCCAGCACAGGAATGATTCCTTCATACATAACTGGTGAAGATTTAATAAGAATGTGTTTTTCCTAATCTTCAAGCTCTGAGCCATTCCTGAAAAGTTCTAAATAAGGGGAAAAAATTGTTTTAATCCAGTTTCTGTCTGCTAGGAGCAAGGCAGCAAACACATATTCCAACCCTTTATGAAAAGATAAAGCAGAACAAAAGTGAAATTTATCTTCAGATTATAAACAGGATTGTATTTTATAGTCCACCATCCTGCTAATGTTAAGGGCCCCAGCAGTAAAAGACCTCAGTCTAGAGGCTGTGGGTCTGCAATTGGCATGGTGTGAAGTACTTCATCTAGGAGCTGGAGGGCCCGGTGTAAGTGAATCTCGATCCAGCAAGGGGTCTCCTTGATGCTCTGTCTTGGGTAATCCGGTCCCCAGCCTTTCACAAAACTCATCCTGAGTATGCATAAGCGACGAAGGTCATCAACACCAATTCCCGCAGCAGCTGATAGACCTAACAGAAAAGATTGGGAAGGTGTCAGAGGAACAAGGTGATCTCTCTCTTCCCATCCTCCCTCATTCTTACATTAATCAAGTGACCAGCTTTCTGTACTGCATTCTCCTCAGCATATAACTTCTCTGTCAAAGTGCCAAGAAGTAACTGTAGATCTAAGCTTTATCAACAGGACTGAAACTTTTGGTTAAGGCAGTTTACATTCCATATGTGTCTTCTAGCTACAACCAATTATAAGGTAAATTACCACAATCCACCAACACCCCACCTATTTTTCGTTTTAGAAGTAGAGGTGAGTGGATGAGAAACACTGTTTTTAAGAGGTAGTGTAAGTCCTCAAGTTGGTTCTAGGAACCCCTTACTGTCTAAACAGCCTAGTTCAAAGTATAACTAAAAATGAGACAGTTAATATTCCTGGTTCTACTGACTTCTTGGATGACCCGGATGATGTCTCTCTCTCAAATTCGCAGTTTAACAGAGAACTGATACACAATTACTCAATGGGGGCAATGGCTGAGAATAAGAAATTTAGTATTTCTGAATTCTTTAGGAAAAGCATGTTTTATAATATCAAAACTAGCAAATTAAGGGTTTAGATGCCCAAATTTTTAAAAATCAAATTCCTTAAGTAAATATGCCTTATCTACCTCTAAATTGTAAACTCCTGAACATAAGTGACAATGGAGACTCTGCATCTAGTTTTCCAGTCAGAACATACAGTCATATAGTCAATCTGCATTCATCAATATTACAATGAAACTAATGGGAGGAATTTGCATATACTGTAGAGAAACCTGCAGGGCCACTGCAGTTTTCTTAGCCAGTGTGATTTGCTTACCACACTGAAGAGGTTAAGAACAGGGGTTGAATGAATCACTAGTTATGCCTTCAGACGTGGAAGATGGGTGCCACGTGTTTCCATCATAAAAGTCTATAGTCAGGAGTTTAACTCTGCAGTAAAAAATTCCCCATCAGTGTGAAACCTGGCACACAGTTCAATTTTACCCTATAAAATTAAAAAAAAGTCTACAAGTTATCAAAATACCACCCTCACTTAGTTTTCTCTCCATGCTTAGCATACTTCAAAGAAATTGGAGAGGCATCCAATTCTGAAATTGAAATATACTTTCCTTAGTAGAATAAAGCCAAGCATTTCAGTGATTACAACCCACCCTGGCTGGTGAGGCAGGAATCATAAGTATCAAAAAAAAAAAAAAAAAGGAGATGGAACAATATAATAACAAACCCCTTTCTCCCATACTTCCTTTTTGATACAGAAAGAATGCAAAGAGGGTCCTAGGCAAAGGGGACTTATTACAGAAGAACAGTTTTTACCAATTCAAAAATGTTACCATCCCAGTAAAGAATTTTAATTTCTATTATTACTCAAAGTAACCAACTGAGTAAGTGAAGATAAAACACCAACTATTACACTTTAAAAAAATCCAAAAACCCAAAGCGTACTTACTGATAGCTGGAGCTATTCCACCTACTGATCCTGGACCAGGGATGTTTCCTGCCACGGCTGCTGCCTGGGCGGCGGCTGCAGCTTGTGCAGTGGCCGCCTGCTGCTGCATCTGTCGATGACACTGACGCAAATCAAAGACCTTAAAAAGAGAAAAGTATTTGAGTTTCATGTTAGGAGTCCATCAGGAAAGATTCCATACACCAAAAATAAATACGCAACTTATTTAAAATTCGGTTTCATTTAACCTCTCACAAGAAAAGAATGAAAATTTTTAAATTTTTATGTAGACGGTAACTGGTATAAACCAGTTAGAAAAGGTGGCTTAAGCTCACCAAGAGGCACGTTTCAACATCATGACACTTTGGCTGCCACAGTGCCTCTCATCTAGTTTAATGTGGGTCAGCTGTTCTTGTGCAAAGCCACCCCTGTGTAGGATGAACAGTTAAGAAGTCACCCCCACCCTTTCATAACCAAATTGCTGAGTTTTCCTTAGGCTGGAACTGATGGCTTTGGTCACCTGGCCAACTTCTTTTCTTACAATTCTTTATCATTCTTGCTATTTGGAGGAGTGTAACAAATGGCACGTCACTAAGAAAACGTCTACATTTTTCAGAGATGTATACTTCAATACAAAGGAGCAACATAACATCTAGAACTTGTTTTTAAAGGGGAAAAAAGCATAGATTAAGTAGTTCTTAAGATTTTACATTTGCTTCATCTGGGTGATGAGTATACAGGATTTCATTAAACTAGTTTCTTCTACTTTTCTGTATGTCTAAAATGTTCATAATTATAAAAGAAAAAAAGTCTAGCTTTGAATTCTAGCACTAATATGTTAAGTTTCTTAAGTTCTCTGAAGCCTCAATTTTCTTACCTATAAAATGGGAATGCTAAGTGTACATAGTTTCAAAGAGTTGTTGTAAACTCGGCATAGTATACAGTAAGCCGTCAATAAAGGTTACATATTATTTTGTTTTTTACTTTCCCCTTAGCCATTTACCTTTCAGGTTGAGTTGAGGAGTGGGTGAGTAATTTCAGTGTGCTTTACCAACTGAGTCAAGGACTGGCACAGTAAGGAAGGGGTTGTCACATTTACCCTTATCCTCATTAAAGTACTAGAATGGTCTATCAATGAGCAACAAATTATGGATTATAAATTATATCACCTTTTTCTGAGTAAAAAAACATCTTCCTAAGATAATCTATGTGCTTATATTTGCATTTATAAAAACCACTGGAAAATTACACAAAAAGAGTGGTGATCTATAGAAGCTATAGAAGAGGCAGATGAGGACAGGGTAAAAACTGCTCAATGTCAACTGAACCATGTGGCTACATTCCCTATCCAAAAAGTAAACTAAATTTTTTAAAAAGTCTTCTGGTATGTACATAACCCAATATGAGCAAGCATAATTATATTTGAAAATAAAAGCAAGCAAAGAATGCACAATTTACTACTTGATAAACAGATTTGAGACTTAAACCATAAATTTGCAAATGCTTGAAAAACTTGATTGTCTTTAACAATGGTATTTACACAAACCACAAAAACATACAATAAACTCTCTCCAAATAGCAAATCACATTCCTATTTACTTATTTCTCTACTTGGTGCCTATTTTCTCATAGAAGTCTTTCCCAATTAGCACCAATGAAGGACAACACTTAGACTACCCTATTCTTTGAACAGATATGAATCTGTCAAATATGTATGTACGTATTACATGGCCAAATCATTAATCGTAAAAGACTTCAGTAAAGAAAGCGTGAAAAAGTCCAGTTCTAGAAACCAAAAATGAGACTAATTCCTTCTCAAATTTCCCAACAGTCCATTACATTCTGAACATTTCCACTGGGCTGTGATCTTTGGAAGCTATTACCTGCCACAGCACAAAGTAGGGACTCAAACATTTGAAAAGGTGGATCACTCTATAACCACATTTTTAAGGAAATAAACTTTACTTTTTAGAGCAATTTTAGGTTCACAACAAAATTGAGCAGAAAGTACAAAGTCCCTGTCCCCACACACACAACACTTCCCCACTATCAACATACCCACCACAGTAGTACATTTGTTACAAGTGATGAATCTACACTGACACATCATCATCACCCAAAGTCCAGAGTTTACATTAGAGTTCATTCTTGGTGTTGTACATTTGGACAAATTTATAATGACATGTAGTACATCATCATAGTATATCACACAGAATAGTTTTGCTATCCTAAAAAGCCTCTGGTCCTGTACGTTTGGCCCTACCATTCCCACTAACCCCTGGCAACCACTCATCTTCTGTCTCCATACTTACTGCCTTTTCCAGAATATCATATAGTTGGAATCATACTATATGACAGTAAGTTTCTTACATTTAGCAATATGTTAGGTTTCCTCTATATCTTTTCATGGTCTGAGAGTTCGTTTCTTTTTAGCGCTGAATAATATTCCATTATCTGATATACCATAGTTTATCCATTTACCTGCTGAAAGGACATATTGTCTACTTTCAAGTTTTGGCAACTATAAATAAAGCTGCCATAAACATCCGTGTGCAGGTTTCTGTGAGGATAAATGTTTTCAATTCTTTTGCATAAATGCCAAGGAATGTGATTCTGGGATCATATGGTTAAGTGTGTATTTATTTTTATAAAACAGTCTAACAAAACGATTGTACCAGTTTGCATTCCTATCAACAATGAATGAGGCCAGGCATGGTGGCTGACGCTTGTAATCCTAGCACTCTGGGAGGCCGAGGCGGGCGGACTGTTCAAGGTCAGGAGTTCGAAACCAGCCTGAGCAAGAGCGAGACCCCATCTCTACTATCAATAGAAAGAAATTAATTGGCCAACTAATATATACATAGAAAAAATTAGCCGGGCATGGTGGCGCATGCCTGTAGTCCCAGCTACTCGGGAGGCTGAGGCAGCAGGATTGCTTGAGCCCAGGAGTTTGAGGTTGCTGTGAACTAGGCTGACACCACGGCACTCACTCTAGCCTGGGCAACAAAGTGAGACTCTGTCTCAAAAAACAAACAAACAATCAATGAGAGTTCCGGCTACTCCATATCCTCGTCAGCATTTGGTATGGTCGGTGTTTTAAATTTTGGCCATTCTAACAGGTGTGTAGTGGTATCTCATTTTGGTTTTAAATTGCACTTCTCTAATGACATGTGATGCTGAAATGTCTTTTCGTATGCTTGCTTGCCATCTCTGTATCTTCAGTAAGGAATCTGTTCATGTCTTTTGCCCATATTTTAATCAGGTTGTTCATTTTTCTTGTTGAGTTTTAAGAGTTCTTTGTATATTTTTTATTAGATGTATCTTTTGCAAATATTTTCTCCCAGTTTGTGGCTTATCTTCTCATTCTCTTGACATTGTCCTTGACAGAGCATAAGTGTTTAATTTTAATGAAGTCCATTACTCCTAAGCTAATTTCTGCTTTAATTTATTTAACCATGTTTCCTGTGGTTACTCTGTACATTTATTGCAAACCTATTAACAAAGTTGAGTATCTTATAAAGGTCACTGTCAATACCTTCAGGATACTGTCTTTCACAAAACTTAACTGCAAACTGTATCAGTTTGAATTAACACCAGGAAATAGTAATCCAGAAAGAGAAATGGTGCTGTTGGTATTTGGGGCACCTAAATATAAGACTGCATTAAGGACATGCTAAGTTACCTGGAGAATCATAATCCAGGAATAAATTTCAGTGGAATTCATAATGCCCTTCAAACTAGCCCACCAGTGGCTTGGAAGCATTCCCAGGCCCCTTCCCCAAACAGATATGTCATCAAAAACAAACCCAACTCAATATCCTCAGGAAAAATTTGCAAATCAAAACCACCATACTGAGATTCTACTTAATACCCACTAGGATAGTTACAATAGTGGGAATGTAAAATGGTGCAGCCATTTTGGACAACAGTCTAGCAGTTTCTCAGAATGTTGCACATAAAGTTACCTTACAATCCAGTAATTCTACTCTTAGGTATATACCCAAGAGAAATGAAAACATACGACCATACCAATACTTATACACAAATGTTTATAGCAGTATTATTCATAATGTAGCCAAAAAGTAAAAATCCATGTCCATCCCAAGGAAAAATTCTGTAAAATTTCATAATGAGTATTTTGTAAATAAAAGTACATTTAGCCACAATTTCCCATTTTCCCTTTGTAATACCCCTTTTGGGAATACCCCTGTATTCAGCTATAAAAAGAAATGAAGTACTGATATACAGTACATGGATGAAGCTTGAAACATTGTGCTTAGTAAAAGAAGTAAGTCACAAAAGATCACATTATATGATATCCATTTATATGAAATGTCCTGAACAGGCAAATCTATAGAGACAAAGTAGATTAATGGTTGTCTAGGGCTATGGGGATTGGGGGCCAGGTGTGGTGGCTCACATCTATAATCCTAGCACTCTGGGAGGCCAAGGCAGGTGGATCGCTCAAGGTCAGGAGCAGCCTGAGCAAGAGTGAGACCCTGTCTCTACTAAAAATAGAAAGAAATTAATTGGCCAACTAAAAATACATAGAAAAAATTAGCTGGGCATGGTGGCGCATGCCTGTAGTTCCAGCGAGTTGGGAGGCTGAGGCAGAAGGATTGCTTGAGCCCAGGAGTTTGAGGTTGCTGTGAGCTAGGCTGATGCCACAGCACTCTAGCCTGGGCAACACAGTGAGATTCTGTCTCAAAAAAAAAAAAAAAAAAGAGGGTATGGGGATTGGAACCCAATTTCCTACTTCCTAAATACATAATATCTGGTTCTGAGATGTGACTCCCAGGTACCAGGCTAGGGCAAAATTGCTCTATAGGGAGAAGTGATGACAGGAAGAGAAAATTAAAATGAATTAATTCTCCTGAAATAAACCTGCCAACAAATACAAAATGGTCTACAAAGCATATAAGGAAATTCAATGTCATTATAAAATAACAAAGTACAAGTAACCAAATACAAAAGTTCCTTGTGCCAAAATTGCAAAATATAAATGATTTCTACCTCCCAAAGACAATTCCTAGTGAGACATTGTACATACCATTCTAGACTTATAGATACATGTAAACAAATACCCATGACATTATTTAACAAAAATGGGATCATACTATATTGTTTAATAACCAGCTTTTCTATACCATGATTATCCTATCAATAAATATAATTTAATATTTTGTTCTATTCTAACAGACCAAAGCTATAACTGATGCTCTGTTGTCAAAAAATTTAACAAGGAATTACTATTAATTGTTAGGTGTAATAATAAACAGCACTGTGCTTACGTTTTTCAGAAGACATTATGGATTAGCTATTTCCATGAGAGTCTTACTGTTTTCTTTATACCTAGTATGTTTGAAAAAATTTCAAAATTTTTAAAAAAATCCTTCAACTGAACTATAACTGAAAATGAGATGATGGGTTTGCTGCTGTAAGGCAATCAAGCATATGCCATTTTTGTAGATACTATATAGCTATATTATTTGTATCCTAAGCAACTTTCTGGCAATAAGTGATGAGGTATAGTTAATACTACTAATTTATAATAGCTGACAATGAAGATATTTAGGATGACTGAGAAATCTAAAATTAAAAATATATGTAGGCTGTCTAATTACAGCTACCTCTTTCAAAAATAGTGTATTTTATAGAGGAAAATTGAAATGATTTGAATACACAATTAGTGAAAAAAATTTCAGTTTTTTAAGGTTCTTAATTTGAGAAGCTACTAATTTTAGAATTCTATTCCATAAAATCATAAAGATCAGCCAGGATGAAATTCCAGAGTCTGATTTTTACAAATTTCAGTCAAACGAATGCAAGTTTGGAGGTTTCACTCACTTTAAAACATTTAACAAATTTGCTAATAAAACACTAGAGTACGCATTCTACTAAGTGAAGTATTCCAAGAATGAAAAAATAAGCACCATATGTACTCAATGTCAAATCGGTTTTAACTAATCAGCACCAAAGTGCACACATAGGAATAACATTCATTGGGTACTGGGCAGATGGAAGGGGAGAGGAGGAGGATGGGTATACACATACATAATGAGTGTGATGCGCACCCTCTGGGGGATGGATAAGCATGAAGCTCTGACGGGGACGGGGTGAGGGCAATATACGTAACCTAAACATTTGTACCCCCATAATATCCTGAAATAAAAACACAAAAACCACTAGGGCATGAAGCCAACCACAAAACTAGATAACTGATTATGTCAATAAATATCCCCAGAAAATATTTTTTGCTCAAAACAAATATAATTTCTGATAATTTACTTAATAATATAAGACATTTTTCTATTCCTCCCACTTTGATGTCAACTCTTTAAACAAATGGAGCTCTCCAAATCTAAAATATTCAAATAAAATTGCAACTAACCTTTATATATGCACTGGGGTAGATCTTATGAACAGCATCTCCAGGTGCACGCCCAGCTTCTCTGTCTAAGTAGTAACTCTGTACAAAGACCGCGTGGTCACTAAGGCACCTGACCCAAACGTCACCTTCACCTTTACATTCCAACTGCACACCTTTGCCTATGTGCAACCTTAGGAAGAAAAAATGAATTACATTTCATCTTGATAAGTATTTTAAAACTGAATTCTCATTTAACCCTCACAACTCAATAAGGTAGGTACTAAGGCTTATAGCTACACTGTCCAAATTGATAGCCACTAGCAACATGTGGCTATTTAAATTAAAACAATTAAAAATTCAATTACACAAGCCATATTTTAAGTGTTCAACAGTGACATGTGGCTACTGAACTGTATCGTACAGATACAAATCATTTAATCACAGAAAATTCTATTAGCCAGCACTGGCTTAAAGAGTAATTTGCCAAAGTCACACAGCAAGTGATAGGGCCAAGATTATATGCTTACATACACATGTCCTTAAAGAGGTGAGATCATACAGTATCTACAATTGTTTTCCTGTAATATTTCATCTTAAGCATTTCCATTATATAAACTATGAACATTTTAATGACATTAAAAAATCAGTTTATTATAATTAACCATTTCCCTTTTATCAATTTTCAACATTATAAATAATGCTTTCAGAAATATAGCTCTCACTTTATTTCCTTTCAGTAGATTTGTACAAATAATACATGATCAGAGAAAATGTAAATTAATTGTCAAAGGGTAACCTGTGGCCTTGGGGCCACAAGTCTTTAAAAAGGCCATCTATTTTTTTTTTGAGACAGAGTCTCACTCTGTTGCCCTGGCTAGAGTGCCATGGCGTCAGCCTAGCTCACAGCAACCTCAAACTCCTGGGCTCAAGCGATCCTCCTGCCTCAGCCTCCCAAGTAGCTGGAACTGCTAATTTTTTTCTATGTATTTTTAGTTGGCCAATTAATTTCTTTCTATTTATAGTAGAGACAGGGTCTCACTCTTGCTCAGGCTGGTTTCAAATTCCTGATCTTGAGCAATCCGCCCACCTCGGCCTCCCAGAGTGCTAGGATTACAGGCGAGAGCCACCGCGCCCGTCCCCCCCAAAAAGGCCATCTTTTATCATTATATATTAAACATCTACAATTAAAATGAAATACTTATAAATACTGAATTTTCAAGATGACCTTTATTTCTTTATTTACATTTAAGAACTTTTATAATGTATATTAAAAATATAACCTTGAATAAAAGACAATGTACTATGCTTAATTTCCAAAATAACTATCTGACTACATAATCAATACCTTGCTCTCTCAATGGCTTCTGTCCTGTGGACATTGGAGAGTTGACCCAAGCAAAAGCGATCTCCTCCTGAAGGGTCCACATATCCATCAACAGTAACGATAGGGCAGCTTGAAGGAACCTTAAATGTCTCTCCTACCTGAACATCCATTTCAAAGTAAGCAATGGAACACCAATACTCAGGAGCTATAGGAAATGAGAAAGAACATCCACCCATGAGAGAAAGATGTTAAGACTTTCATCAAGACAAAGCTTTTCCTAAAAGAAGGGGTGAAGGGAGGAGAAGAGGGAAATGAAAAGTACCCAAAGTCTTAGATGAAAATAAAATGATGCATTAAAAAGTAGGAATTTCCATGCCTTCTGTACCTAGCACTATTCTTCAAACTCTAAAAGTCATTTTTAAAATCTGGCATTTGATTCGTACCTCAAAGGATCAAGTCAACTGAATTTAAAAAACAGAAGTAATCAGAATCTGAAATAATTTTACACTGTTTCATGTTCTGTTCACATATTCTCCATGTGGTCTGAACTTTGATTTTTTTTTTTTAAAACACACTGACTCTAAGATGTATTCCATGGATTTGTTCTTCAATGACATCAATCCAGGGCTTATTTTTATAGATTCCCAAGCAAGAGAAAGTGCATAAGCAAGTCAGCTATCCCAGGCCCTAAGTCAAAGTTAATCATACTCTAACTACACAGTTGTTGAACAAAGAGATTCTCAATTGTCTCTTGAGTGAAAGGTCATTTGTCCCATCTGTGTGTGTGTGTGTATGCATGCCATAGCAACAGATATTTTTTGTGAAATCAGTTCGTGTTAACTACAATTTTAACTTTGAAGATGTGTTTAGTATATTCACTTGATTTAAAATAATTTAAGATGACTGGGGAGAAAAGAGGCATTAACTTGGTTTGGTTTGCAAATACGGTTGATCAAGTACTTTTAATATTCATTTGAATATAATTATTACATCGAGCCCATATATATATATATAAAATTATTTGGTTTTCCTTTTGTAACTCATTTAACAGATATATCTAGGGATCATTCTAGGCACTGTATACACAGCAAGAAATAAAACAGCTACATTCTCTGTCCTCAGAGAGGTGTAGGGGCAGACAAACAAATGAATAAGATAACTCAGATAATGACAATGTGAATAAAATAAAACAAGGTACAGTAGATAATTAGGAAGAACACTACAGACTGGATGGTGGGGCACATCCTATCTGAAAAAGTAACACTTGAAAAGCCTTGTATCTATGTGAAGACTAGAAAGAACACTTCAGAGAGGAAAACAAAAGCGAAGACCCTAGAGTCGAAATGGGTTTGACGTTTTTTAAGAAACAAACAAGGCCAGTGCTATCATGAAAAGGAGAGGAGCACAATTTTGTCTGCAAATTTATCCATATCTCAACATGCTATTTATGAGCTTTATGCTAGAATTTGAAGCAATAAAATTTTCAACAATCAGACATTACTTAGAATGACGACAAAAAAAAAACAAAAAACCCAGATCTTTTCAAACTAAATGAAGTATGACGTTAAAACAGACGGTGTGGTGGCTCATGCCTATTATCCCAGGGCTTTGATAAGGATCACTTGGGGCTGGGAGTTCAAGACCAGCTGGGCAACACAGCAAGACCCTGTCTCTACAAAGAATTTTTTAAAACATAAGCTAGGAGTGATGGCTTGCACCTGTAGTCCTAGCTACTCAGGAGGCTGAGGTGGGAGGATCACCTGAACCCAGGACTTCAAGGCTACAGTGAGCTATGATCACACTGCTACACTCCAGCCTGGGTGACAGAGCAAGACCCTGTCTCTAAAATAAACGCCATCAAGCTTAAAGTACATTCTGATGACAAGTTAATAAAACAAAGCACATGAAGATAGGGCGATTCAAAAAATTAAAAATTTTGAATGTTATTACGCTATGTCAATCTGATCAACTCATCATAAACATAAACATTCCTTTAAATGTATTTAGTTATGACTAGAACATAAAAACTAGTGATATACAAAAGCATCTTCTTAAAAAACCAGTTTTGAAGTATTAAGTTACTTTCTATAGTAAAATTCTTTATTGAAGATATCACCTTATGCTACGGACAAGAAGCTTCAGCAAACAACTGGTAGGTATACTGGCTGAAGCTAAAACTAAAGAGACTGTCTAAGACAAGACAATTACTCGATGGTTTGGTGGCACCAAAATAATAGCACTTTAAAATGCCCTGATGTTAAGAATATTTGTAACATTAGGTAAAAAGATGAGGTTCCAAGTACATGCACTTCCCAGTTCGTACTAAAGGACACTATTCAAAAGTAAAGTGCAATGGTAAGCAACCTTTCTTCCGAGAAGAGTCAATTCAGGGCTAAGGGGAGGTTTTATAGCCTCCATATTTAAGAAAAATATACTTTCATCATCATGAATTACAACATTTGCAATTGCACTTAAACCTTATTACTTCCCAGACACCTAAGGATTTCTTTTGTTTGTTTAATATTTCAGACACCATAGAACACAACAACATTGGTTATATAGAGCTGCATCTCTGATGCAGGTTTAGTTTGAGTTGACCTACTCGTATTGGGAAAAAGTTTTAAGAGACATCAGAGTTGCACCATAGACCAGGGATGAAAAAAAACCTAGGAAAGCAAGAGGAGGCAGGTTACTATTTATGAAGACAGAAAGGGACAGAGGGAGATCTAAGTGGGTCCCAGAAAATTTGGCAGTGTTGGGATACAAAATACTATGTGAAAAACACTTCTGCGCTACTCTCAATATGCTGAACAGTAAGAAGGGAATCTTCTTATTTTTAAAACAGGAGAGAGTAATATCAAACACCTATTAAACCTTTCTGGATACCTCTTTGCTCTTTTTTTGCCCCCAAGGACCAAATGCCATATAAATGACAACACTGCAGCTTCTCAAAACTAGCTTCAACAGAAGAAATCTAGAATTAGTACAGCCTGGGCTTTCTGAATGCCCCAACTCATTTGAAAGAGAGATGTGAGAACTTTGATATTTTTAGTTTTTGCTCCTAAATTAGTGAAGTTTAAGCCAGTCTCATAAAGCCCTAAGCCTGTGGGATGTTCATCACTGGCCAGAGAAAAGGTTTTTTTTTTTTTTTTTTTTTGAGACAGAGTCTCGCTTTGTTGCCCAGGCTAGAGTGAGTGCCGTGGCGTCAGCCTAGCTCACAGCAACCTCAAACTCCTGGGCTCAAGCGATCCTCCTGTCTCAGCCTCCCGAGTAGCTGGGACTACAAGCATGCGCCACCATGCCCGGCTAATTTTTTATATATATCAGTTGGCCAATTAATTTCTTTCTATTTATAGTAGAGACGGGGTCTCGCTCTTGCTCAGGCTGGTTTTGAACTCCTGACCTTGAGCAATCCGCCCGCCTCGGCCTCCCAAGAGCTAGGATTACAGGCGTGAGCCACAGCACCCGGCCGAGAAAAGGTTTTTAAAAGACTGAGTTAACAACATTAAAAGTTTTTCTTTTTATAATATAAGAATTTAGCTAAATACAGTTTTATCATCAAATATTGCTTAATTATAAATTTGAAGTCTTCAAGGCATTATCTTTAATTTTTAGAATAAAGTTATTCAAGAAAAAGTAAAAAATAAAGTACCTAAAAATTATGAATTATTCCTTTTACTATTCAAATCTGAATGAGATGCCTGAATAAGAATCTTTTATGGGCCGGGCGCTGTGGCTCACGCCTGTAATCCTAGCTCTTGGGAGGCCGAGGCGGGCGGATTGCTCAAGGTCAGGAGTTCAAAACCAGCCTGAGCAAGAGCGAGACCCCGTCTCTACTATAAATAGAAAGAAATTAATTGGCCAACTGATATATATAAAAAATTAGCCGGGCATGGTGGCGCATGCCTGTAGTCCCAGCTACTCGGGAGGCTGAGGCAGGAGGATCGCTTGAGCCCAGGAGTTTGAGGTTGCTGTGAGCTAGGCTGACGCCACGGCACTCACTCTAGCCTGGGCAACAAAGTGAGACTCTGTCTCAAAAAAAAAAAAAAAAAAAAAAAAAAAGAATCTTTTATGAACAGACAAAGGTACTCTCTTGAATGGAGGATTGCTCTAAAGTGCACCTGAACTTGGAAATTTGTGGATATCCAATCCATTTGTGAATCTGAACACAAAACAACTTCAAAGACACTTTAATCTGCAAGCAACATTTAATTTGATGACTATATCTCAACTTTAAGAAAAAGCAAAAACAAAGTATGTCCGTGAAAACGAAATAACCTTTTCCAAAAAGGTTTGTAAGATGAAAAGGTTTTTTTCAACTTTGTTATCAAAGTCAAAGCATGGAAATCACCAAGCACATTGCCTGTCTGAAATCTTTAACACCAAGGTAATGACCAATATTATTTTCATTTCCACAACCTACATCACCCATTTCCTGAAACATGTATGTAACTACATTCAAAAATAATGTCTCAAACTAGATTTACTATATATTAATATTGTGATGATGTTTACATATATAAAAGACTCAGGTATGCATATTTCCTATTCAAATGGTTCTAGGTCTGTGGTAGAGTTTAGCATTTCATCATCAGACCTTGAGCGGTTTCATTGACCATATACCTATACAAATATTTTCCATTTTGCTTTCTTTTCTATTTGTTCATTAAGCAAGTATAGCAGACATATAAACTAGTAACTTGTAATTTAGTATGATCAGAAAATACTAGGTAGCAGGAGACAAGAGATGAGGCTTCCACACAGTGGTATGCTTCAGACGGATCTTAAGAGTTTGCCACACTTGGGAGGGCAGGTGTGCATGGTTCCCAGCATTCCAGATGGCCTCCAATGATTCTTACCTCCTGATATTCACATCCTTATGCAGTCCCCCCTCACATGACACAGGATTTTATAGAAATGATAATGTGACTTAGGAGGCTACGTGTTAAAAGACCACTGAGGGAGGCTCTGTGTCTCTCCTGATCACTCGTTAGCTATCATGTTATGAAGACACTCAAGCAGCTCTAAAAAGTCCATACAGAGAGTAACCAGAGCTTCCTGCCAACAATAATCCTGACTTGCCAGGTAATCCACCCTGAAAGTGAATCCTTCAGCCCCTAGAAAAGCCTTCAGATGATGGAAACCCCAGCTAAAAACTTCAATGCAACCTTACGAGACCCTAAGCCAGAACCACCCAAGTAAGCCACTTCCATATCCCCACCCACAGAAACTAAGTGAAATCGTAAATTGTTAACTTGCTAAGTTTTGGGGTAATTTGTTGAAAAGAATGGCATTTAAAAAAATATGGAAGGATGATATACGGATGATATACCTAGCAATCTTAGGTAAGTAGTTCAGGATGGTTAAAGCATCAAGAGATAAGGCTAGAGGCCAGGCATGGTGGTTCATGCCTGTAATCCTAGCACTCTGGCAGGCAAAGGTGGGACCATCGCTTGAGGTCAGGAGTTCCAGAGCAGCCTGAGCAAGAATGAGACCCCATCTCTACTAAAAATAAGAAAAAAAAATTAGCTGGATGTGGTGGTATGTACCACCTGTAGTCCCAACTACTCAGGAGGCTGAGGCAGAAGGATTGCTTGAGCCAAGGAATTTGAGGTTGTGAGCTAGACAGATACTATGGTACTCTAGCTCTGTCTCAAGAATAAAAAAAAAAGGCCAGAGAAGTACCCAAAGACCAGGACTAGACACGCTTTTCTGTCTAGCTAAGGAATTTGGACTTTATCCTATGGCCAAGCAATGAGTAGGGGAATTAATGCAATTTCTTGAGCAGATAAATAACATAAGTAGGGTCAAATTTTAAAACAAATACTGAGCAGCAATAAAAGAAGAGGCTTTAATGCCAATGCATGCTGTTACATATACATATCCTCACCTAGTCAATGCTATTCCCTAACCACAAGTAGCTGTTGGGCCTAAATATCAGTTCTACCACAAGAATGAAGTAAATCTATCAAGAGGCCAAAGGCAATTGCAGAATTCAAAAATGAGTACAAAAGACTGACTAAATGCCATCACCCCAGGATTCCATCCAGGGAAAGTCGGTCTTCAGAGCCTTGATTACCCTTGTTCCTGCAGACCTTCTCCCACTAGGCTGTATGAACACTGAGACCCCTAAGTTGCCAGGAGCCGCACTACTGACTCTCAAGGAGAGCCAGCAAAAATTCTCAGTCTTCAGACTAAGTTTTCCCCCTCTTATCGCAATATATTCACATGCAAATTAAGATCCTGATATAACGATTCCCTTCATATAATTTCAAAAACATGTAAAACCAAACTACTATATGAGACTGTTTAGGAATGTATGCATCACTTTAAAAAAGCCAAAAGAAAAAAATGACATCTATAAAAAGCAGGATAGTGGTACCTCTAGGAAGAACAGAGGAAAAGGTTTTGACTAAGATATGGAGCACGAGGGTTTTGAGAGTGCTGCAAGCTTCTATTCCTCAATCTGGGTGGTAGGTACACAGGTGTTAGCTTTAGTGAAATTAGGCTGTACACTGGTATTATACATTTCTCTGTATATTACATTTCTCAATAAAATGTTTATGAAAAGGCATGACCCACAAAAAATGTCAAAATCACAATATATAACATACATGGAAAATCCATCAAAGAGGAAATTTAACTTGTAAATATGTATAACTAAAAAAATGCTTCTGCCCCACGAGCACTTTCTCCTAACCAAAACAAATATTATTTGCCTCATAAATCAGCAAGTTTATTAAACTTCACATCTACTGCTAGTGAGCACGGTAAAACTGGTTCTCCTACTCTCATGCTGCCACTAGAGAGCAATGTGGTCTAGAAATTCTGCAAATTTTTGAGACTGAAATATGAGAAAAGTTATAAACACAAAGATCTTCCCCTCAACTTTTTTTAAATAGCTATAAGAAAACTGGGAACCAACACAAGAAATAATGGAACACTACGTACACGAAGGAAATTATGTAGATCTACTTGAGAACTGTAAGTTACCCGGTAAATTAATCATCATGGGCACTATATTTTTTTAAATCCTTATTGAGAATATTAATATATTTACAAATAAAGCAATTATATGAATTTGCTTTAAAATAATACAGATGGGAGAAAGGGGGAAGATATGAATGTAACAAGACTGGCCATTAGTTTGTAATAGCTGAAACTGAGGAATGGGTGCAATGGGGGGATTTCCTATACTATTTTGATTATGTTTGAAATTCTTCATAAAATTTTTTAATTAGGAAAAATGAATTTTATGGTTACAAAAAAACTAAGATGATGAGCTAAAATAGTATGTTTGCGTCTTTTTAAGCTAAGAAAAACAGATATGAAGGGGTAAAGGGAAAAATTCAAAATCCTATGTTTGTGTTGTAAGGGACCTTCGGTATTTTATTTTCAAATGTTTCCTGTAGTTTCAAAATTATGTACAAACTTCAAAAGCTACTTAGCTATTTACTCTTTTTAACACAATTTCATCAATAGTTTCTAAATTCTAGTCAACCAGGGATACCTAAATCTATCTTCCAAGACAAATACAGTGAATTACTTTTCTTCTCAACATCTACCTAAAATTCTTCCCTGGCCTTTTTTTTTTTTTTTTTTTTTTTTGAGACAGAGTCTTTCTCTGTTGCCCTGGCTAGAGTGCCGTGGTGTCAGCCTAGCTCACAGAAACCTCAAACTCCTGGGCTCAAGCGATTCTCCTGCCTCAGCATCCCAAGTAGCTGGGACTGCAGGCATGCGCCACCGCCCAGCTAATTTTTTCTATATATTTGTAGTTGGCAAATTAATTTCTTTCTATTTTTAGTAGAGACAGGGTCTTGCTCAAGGCTAGCTCAGGCTAGTTTCAAACTCCTGACTTTGGGTAATCCTCCCGCCTCTCAGAGTGCTAGAATTACAGGTGTGAGCCACCGTGCCCAGCTTTCCCTGGCTTCTTAAGCTCTAGTTTTATAGTTGTCCTATTTTGAAAGCCAGTTTTATTCTGCTGATTTTTTTTTTTTTTTTTTTTTGAGACAGAGTCTCGCTTTGTTGCCCAGGCTAGAGTGAGTGCCATGGCTTCAGCCTAGCTCACAGCAACCTCAAACTCCTGGGCTCAAGCAATCCTGCCTCAGCCTCCCGAGTAGCTGGGACTACACACCATGCCCGGCTAATTTTTTCTATATATATTAGTTGGCCAATGAAGTTCTTTCTATTTATAGTAGAGACGGGGTCTCACTCTTGCTCAGGCTGGTTTCAAACTCCGGACCTCGAGCAATCTGCCCACCTCAGCCTCCCAGAGTGCAAGGATTACAGGCATGAGCCACCAGTGCCTAGCCTATTCTGCTGATTATTTAGTCAATGCTGAAGCCAGCATTTCCATACTTTATATTTGATTTTTAACTATCTCTAAAAGAGCTATGCATTCAGCTAAAATGTGACCATTATCAACTACTCTTAAACTGCTGATTAACTCATGTCATAATATTGTCCTTAACTTAGAAATTAAGTTACCCTGCAATTATATTAAAATGTATATATATATATATGTTTCAGTCACCATGAAGAAAATCCAAATATAGGAAGTCAATTTTGAAATACACTTACCAGGATGATTGGAAATGGGAGGCTGGAATGCAAGTTCATTGTGAACTGGCCCTAAAGAAACGACAATAAAAACCCCATTTTTATTTATTAAAAGTTTTCCAATGCTAAACCTTTTAATAGACCTTAACTCCTAAGGTATGATAGTTATATTTGTTTAGAACAAACTTATACAATATCTAAGAACTTATAAAGTAATGTAAACTAAGCTTTTAAGTGTAATAAACAAATACTCTTAAATTACTTTTGTGGATATTTAATAACATAGCCCTATGTGCCAAGTGCAATTAAGCAATTTACAAATGGTTGTACATGCAATATTTAATGCAGATTATAAAGAAATTATTCGTGTAACACATAATACAGTATAATTTTTAATGTATAATAATTTTAACTTTAGGTATATTCTAAAAACAAGTGCTTTTTAAATTAAGGATGTTTATATAATGGAATAGTAGTTAACAAAATTTAAAGCTTATTGTGTATTAAGACATTACTACATTTACTTCTCACAACACCCCTTGAGGTTAAATAACTTGCCAATGGTCACACAGCTAAAGCCCCAAACTCAGCACTCTTAACCCCTATGCTGACCCTGGCAGCCATTAAAAAGTATATTCTCTTAAGATATATACAATATACATATAGTATGAAGCCCCCCCTAATTTATATATACCCATTTACATGACTGGAAGGAAAACGACAAAATATTAAAAGTGGATTTCTCTGGATGGTAGGATTCTGAGTAATTTTATTATTTATACTTTTCTGTATTTTAAGTATTCTTGGGTGTTACTATTAATCTTGAGAGGAAAGTGATTTTATATATATGAAAGATTTATACTCTTAATTTTACTAAGCCAAATGAACAGTGTTCCTATTCTGTCTGAAACTACAGGCTGTCTACAGGGTATCCCTCCCAATCATGCCTGCACAGAGTATCTATGGTGCAATGAATGCTAAGGTGAGGGAAACCTTGAGAACTTATTAGCACTCAAGGGGCTTCAATCCACTATGGGTGGATACACAAGATACACATGAGATCTAAGAATACATACAAAGCAAACAAATGAATGGAAATCAATGTGGTGTTAATGAAACATTAGCAGCAGAGAAATAAATGTATTTAGTAAATATCACTCCTCTAAAGAAGGTATGAGAACACAATTATGAAAAATAAATACCATTTATAAAAAAATACTGAAAAGCACTAATTACTTAATGAGACAAAATTGTAGGATGAATAAAAGATGTAAAATGTTTTTTTAAAAAATAGAAAACAAAGTCCTACAAAAGAAAAAGCCCTTACAACAAAAACAAGAGCTTACAGTAATGTCCGGGATGGGGCGGCATAGGCGGGTGGTGCTGAAGATGGCCGTTTTGGTGGTGAGGCAAATTAGGTGTGTATGGTGCAGTCCTACTTCCAGTCCAGGTGGTAGTGCTGTCTAAAAATTAAGGCCCACATGGATTAATTTGCTTTTACAAAGGCTGCCTATTTTTTTCTCAACTATTTAAAAGATTTTAAAAAGCATGCACATACTATGATGGTAAGTAGCTGGCTGACCAGTAAATCCATTCTGCTGCTGTCCTGGCTGAGGCCCTGATGCTATCTGCAACAGTCCTTCACTATGGCTGCCTGCTAGTATACTAGCAGGCTGACCTAGAGGAACAAGAAGACATTAACATGGCACATATATAGATCCAATCCTATGATTTAAATAATAAATGAAGGACCAATTATATCTGATACTCCACAACTATAAAGATAGGCCATGGGTGAGTTCCACTTTTTACCCATCAAATAAAAAACCTAGTCATTTATAAAGGCAAACCTTAACTTGAAGAAACTCAAAATTTTTCCATTTTAAGTAATGTTTAGCTAATTTTAGTGGCCTATTTCTTCAAATGCAAGCAAAGTTCTAATATATGTCTAATCTATCATAACTTCAGAAGCACATCAGTTCACCACTAGCCACTCCATCCAGCTCTCTATGGACCTTTCTGATTAGGACCTCAAAAATCCAGGTTCAAGGTAATGTTGCAAACTGGAAAGCTAATCATTATCAGCACTGGTGTACTGGTAATGGTAGAATGCTAGGATTTGATAAAAGAAAAGCAGAACAGAAAGATATATTAAATAGGATGTGATGGGGAAGGTGAAGTTAAAAAGATCCAGCTCCACTATCCAATCAATATAGCATTTAGTGGTTAAGAATAAATGAAAAAACACCTATCAGTCTACTTTGAAATCGTTTCAAGAACAACATATTCCCAGATTTACACATCAGTTGCTCTCTCTGGCTTCTGTTCAAAATAACCATTCTGTGATACTGCTTACTTTCCCTACATTTTTAAGGCATCTTTTTTTTTTAGTGGAAAAAGCTTGATTTCTTAAAGCAAGCAGTTAGTCAATTGTTTATCCCATTTGAAAAGCACTAAATTTCACAAATATTTGTCACTAGCATCACCTCATTCTTTCCTCAACTAAATGGAAGTATAATTAGACGGAAGAGAGTAAATGTCACCATTGCTCAAAGTATCTCAGAAAAGGAATACTTTCTCTACGTATCACATTTCCTTAAAGCTAAGATTGTAAAACCAAAAGCTAAAGAGAAAATTTCAGTACTCCCAAAACTGTTTATTTGTAAAGATAATGTTTTTAGCAACCTCCCTTCCTACTCATCCCCCAGAATTCTGCAAGTTATCTTTACAGGTTAATTACATTTTTGCTTAACAATTCTACATATTCTCAGATAACACACACAAAAAAAACTATCACTCACAGGAGAAATGAAATGATTTTAACTTACAGATATTTAAAAAGAAACTTTGAAGATATTCAGGTACCAAATAAACATAAATTGTAAAGTGGCCCAGTAATCTGTATTGGATATTTCTATTACATAGTTCCCAGTGCTTAAGATAAATGATACAACTAAATTAGCTCATGGAAAACAGCCTTCCAATTCTTCTATTTTAGTCCAACTTCTTTCCTTCCATTTAATTCTATCAAAACACTTTTTGAGATCTAAGGAACCATTTTGCCATAAGTTGAAATTTATAGTATTTACTATTCAATTGTAAATATCTACCTGAAATATAGTGACACAAAATTAGCTGCATTTCATTCATATCACTTTTTCTGGTCTTTGAATAGGACTCAGCCCCAGGGAACAGAACAGCCAAAATGAAGTCTCTTTAGTAAAGTGACATAGTAAAGGCATAGAAAATTCAATCTCCAGATAATATGGAGGTAGGTACCTGTACTCTAGCACTAATTTATGCTCAAGTGGCTGTAATGTATTTTCATTTTCCATCACTACCCATTGTATGTCAACCATATTCCAAATTGTTAAATAAAAAGCAGACAGTAGCTCCAAGTGATTTAAGGGTCCAGACTTCCCAGTGCTTAACCTATATGACCCACTTAGAATATGGTGTCCATGGTGACAGATTATCATCTCTTACATAGCGAACCAAAAAGACATTGCTTTGAAGTAGTGAAATGTATTAAAGAAGGGGAAATTGGGTATACTTGAAAATTCACAATTATAGCAATCAGTCCCCATTTATTCCAAAGATAAAATTCTTACAATGAATCTGATCTAATATTACAGTAAATAAAATAATGGTCCCTTTGGTAGCAACTAAGACACTATGAGTCCAGATCTATCAAAAATCTATTGATGTGGATTTAGATATAATTCCCTTAGCAACTATGTACAACTAACACCATACACATACCAAGACAACACTGTGATATGAAGAAAAAAACCACTCCACTGGCCCAGCAGCAAACTGTCCACCCTTTGGTGGCTGTGAAAATAAACAGCAGTACTAACTGAACCAGGTCATATTGATCAGGCTCCAAAAAACCTAAACCTTATTAGGCCTTCTAATTCCTATGACATGCCAGAGAAGAAGAACCCTTTTGAAACAGACTTTCTTTTTTTTTAAAACAAACTAATTTTTTCAAGTGAGATGTAGAATTTAGCTTTATATCAAAATTGACTAAAAGACTTAATGTCAATCTTGAAGGGTATGTTATAAAAGTTTATCAAGATCCCACAATGAGAAAATGAGATGACTACTACAATGTAATATTCTCCTAGATAAAGCAAAATAAGGACACTGGATTAAAAGGTTATAAATCTGGTAACACTAATCTTTATATTACTAAACATCTAACTACTTTTCAATACCTTAAATATTTCTCTAAAATCTATCTGAAAACTCAAGCTTCCTCTGCATGTAATAGTAAAGTACAAATTAGATCACTAATGTAAATCGGTATTAAAATCAAAGACATTAAACTCCAAGTGACTGTATATCAACATAAGAACCTTTAAATAAATTACAAACATCATTTTTCCTAGGACCAACCCAAAGATATCATAGCACTCTTAATTTTTACTTACTTGGAGTTTTCCTCCAAGTGACTACACACAAATATGCAATGATTGGGAAAATTCGACTTGCTGACTACATCTGATTCTAGAACTCACTTGTGGAAGCCACAGGAATGTTGGGAAAGTTGGCGTTGCTGGTAGCATTAGACTCAGATGGGGCTAACAGAGCTGGGGTGCTGTATGTCTCTGTCGATGCACGATTACTTGGTGGATGCTGGATGGTTTGAATTGAATGTCCTTCAGTGGATAACGATGGCTGTCCCTCAAAGTCATGAACATATTCATCCTTTACCAACATACTTGGTGGAGCTATATAGAAAATTAAACATATTTTAAATTTTTATAAGTTTCTATTCCCAGAAAAAAATCTCATAAGGCCTAAAATCAACTACAGTATAAATAACTCCAATTCAGACTTTTTTCATATTATTTTAAAAGTTTACTACTTTATCAGCAAAAGCCAATTTCTTAGAGACAATAGCAACAGGTGTATTTTATCAATCTGACTCTCACATTTGAAGCTAGACTATATTCCAATGGCTAACAAACCTAGAATAATAATCACCTAAATATATAACATGAAAAAGGTAAAAACCAAAAGGCTGGAAAAATACCAACACCTCTAATTCCCGGACACTTTAGGTTTTTTGTTGTTATAGTGACTGGGATCTTTTAACCAATATATTGGCATTGCTAGCTGATTTCAGGATATACCTGGTGAACTTGATACTCATTGCTTCTGCTTTTCAGTTGACTCTTCAGCTTAATAGGCAATCATGACATCTCCAAGTACCAGCTGTACTTTGCTTTTAAATAGTTATGATTTAAATTTTTCTCACTTTAATATATTAGCCAAACTTCTCAAATACAAGTTTGGGACTTCTATTGGTCTACAAGACTCTTTAATCAAATAACCTAATATATATGTTTGTTAGGTAAAACTGAAGGTATCTACAAGGACAGATCTTTGCCAAGAGAAAAAAAGCAAGTTATGAAACACTGTACACTGCGACCATAGGCATGGTAAAAAAAAATACTCTAAGTAAAAATACAGAGTACAAAACAGTGTGCACAGTATGCTTTTTGTGTAAGAAAGGAGGAAAATAATACGTGTATTTTTTGCATAAAGACACCCTGGAAGCAAACACCAGAAACTAATAAAAGTGATTACCTGAGGTAGTGGGGAATGGGGACAGGGGTAGGAGCACTTCTTTTCACTGTATACCTTTTTATAGCATTTTGATTTATGGACCATCTACTGCCTATTCAAAAAAACAAGTCCAGAAAAAGACACCAAACTGTTAAGTACTTCTCTTCATGGTCTAACATTCAATAAATTCATTTATTGAAAAAGTATTTAAGTACCTATAACTATAGGTTATAACTATAACCTATGCTCTAGGTACTGTTCTAGTACATGGGATATATCAATAAACAAAACAAATATCCCTGCCTTGGTAGAGCTTACAGTCCTGTATTATTTTTCTACTGTTTAAATATCTAACAGCACACATTACTCCAGCTCCTCCTAGCTGTCTAATCTTGGGCAAGTCCCTTGACCTCTCCAGGCACCAGTGTCTCCATCTAGTAAAGTGTGGACACAACAAGTACTCAGTGTTAGCTATTATTATTGATTTATATTTTTAGTTATATCTATAGAGAGAGAATAATGTATTACTATATATATTAAAATATTCTACCAGGAGTAAAATAAAATGTACTCTCTATAGGTGACAAAAAAGCTGAAGCCACTGGGCCTACCCTAGGTCTGTGTTCTTTATCAACACTAGCAGGCAGGCCACAGCACTGGTCAAATGGTACTATCACTCTCTTATTTTTCTCTCCTTCACTAGATCATGAGCTCCCTAGAGTGAAGAAAAAATACCTTATGATCTTAGCATCTCTGGAACCTAACACACTACCAGGCAATACATGCTCATTAAATATTTGTTAAAATGAATATACACATGTCAATGTGGTCAAGGAAAGTTTCACGAAAGAGATGAAACAGGCTGCGAATGATTATTACCATAAGACCTCAACTCAAAAGTGAAGGCACTTTTCCATTTTCTTAACTTCCAGTGACCTGGTCTTATATTATTTCTTTGTCCAAATCTAGAAAGCTATGAGAAACATCTGCTATTTTCTGAGGAAATAAGCCACTGCAAACAGTCTTTACATAACCACCACTAGGGGGATCCACAAGGCTGAACACAGCCCTAGAGTCACTAAAGAAAGGCTACCAACCCATACAATCCCATCAATAACAAGTGTTCAGAACAGCAGTAATTTTAGGATAAGGAGGTATGTGACAAGCATTCAGAATCTGGACCCCCTCACACCCCCCCCCAGGGAAATTTTTTTTTCTTTGAGACAGGGTCTTGCTCTCTTGCCTGGGCTAGATGCGGCGGCATCATCGTAGCTCACCGCAGCCTCAAACTCCAGGGCTCAAGCAATCTTCCTACCTTACCTCAGACTTTTGAGTAGCTGGGACTACAGGTGCATGCCACCATGCTTGGCTAATTTTTCTATTTTTGGTAGAGACCAGAGTCTCACTATGTTGCTCAGGTTGGTCTCAAACTCCTGGCCTCAAGCCATCCTCGAACTTCCACCTCCCAAAGTGCTAGGATTACAGACATAAGCCACCATGCCCTACCTCTGTAGCGAGATTCTCATACAGTTATCATTACAGTCTCCCAACCCCTAATATCCACTGAGCTTTAATTCTCCAAAATTAATGCTTTAATTCTCCAAAAACATGGACTGAGAATGGTGAAGGTGTGAAGGGTGTTTACTTTCCAAAAAAAAGTGATGTGATATCAATGTCCATGAAGCAAAGAGGAAGAGCTTTACCCCATCTTAAAGCTACCCTGCCCAGACCACAGCAGCTCCTATTAACCCACACTTCTCAGAAATCTAATAATTAACAAGTACCACAAGGCACTGGTGTCATCCGTTATTAGTGACATTTAAGAAAAGTGAAGAATAAAAACAAGTAGACGTGCGTGCTCTTCCTAAATTTTGTTTAAGATCACATATTTTTGACCCACCTCTAAAATTCTGCAACTTTAGGTGCTAAGCTAATTTCCCTCCAAAACAATAGTACACCTTTCCAAGTTATATAACAGAGGTTCTTTATCAGAGTTTCTCTGCAAATGAACTAGTTCTTACAGAAATTTTAGTGATTAACAAGTTCTATGTAATAGAGCTAAAGATTTAATAAAACTCTGTTCTCAAATATTACACTAAAAACCAAAAACACCCCCCCCACTTGTGTTTCATTTTCTCACCTCAAAACATGTTGTCTTTAAAATGGAATTAGATTAGCTGTGATGGGTGTATACTTTAAAGTAGCCTTATTTACTCGAAATGCAGTAAGATTGAAAAAAATACTAATGTAATTTTAAGTCATTCTCAACAATATCATTCTTAAAAATTACAGTACTAGTATTATTAAAGGACATGTTATACATGATTCCAAATTACCAAACATTATGGGTACTTAATACCGATTTTAAAAATTGGCTCTGTGAGATTTTCTTCAAAATAGCCAGTTTTTAGTAATTCAAAATATTCTACCTTTTTTTTATGTTTTTGGTACACTCCTCTATCATATTTCTAAGTATATTTCAGTTCATAAATTGCAGTTCAAATCCAAAAAGCCAACGGCCTATTTATTTTTTTTAGAGATAGGGTCTCACTCTATAAGGCAAGCTAGAGTGCAGAGGCGTGATCACAGCTCACTGTAGCCTTGAATTTCTGGGCTCAGTCTCCTGAGTAGCTGGGCTACAGACATGAGTCATCATGCCCAGCTACTTTTTAAATTTTTTGTAGAAAACAGGGTCTTGCTATGTTGCCCAGACTGGTCTTGAATTCCTGAGCTCAACTGATACTCCTGCCTCAGCCTCCCAAAGTAATAGCATTACAAGGCACCTGTCTGGTCCCCAATAGCCTATTTAAATCCAGGGGTTTTTAGGTTTTTTGAGACAGGGTCTCACTCCGTCACCCAAGGCTAAAGTGTAGTGGTGTTGATTATAGCTCATTGCAAACTCAAACTCCTGGCCTGAAGCGATCCTCCCAGGCTCGGCCTCCCAGTTTTAAATGCTGATGCATGACCCCCCAAAATCCACATTTCCAAAGCAGCAAGGTTTTTTTCTTATTAATGTTACTAGCACTCACACAAACTAATTCTAGGTCAACAAAAATAAATAGGGAGGATAGGATAAAAGAAAACAGAGAAAGTTGTAAGATTACCTACCATTATTCTGCAGTGTTAATCCTGAGAGATCTTAATTTTTTAAAGGGGAAAAAAAATGAAACAATCATTACCATGACAATATTTTCTATTATATTTAAAATTACAGAATGCAAATTTAAGCCAGAAATTACAAAACTTCATGAACTATTTCGATTAAGGAGAAATAGCACAAATACCATCTAAAATATAAACTATTCAAATCCATAATGTTTTCTATCTTATTTTTCAAAAACAATGTTCCAAATGGTCAAAATATTGACTATATACTACTCAGTTTTAGCAGTCAAAATACAAGTTTTTTCCCAAGTTCAAATTTAAATACTTATATTAAAAATGTCTGATTCTTTAACCTTATTTGAAGTCCTGGGCTATCTCCAAATTTATAATTTCACTTAGAAAAATTAAAATGCTACTGAGATCTTTTTTCCTTTTATGATTCTAAGGACCTAAGCATAGTTTACTTACCAATTCCAGGTGATACAACTCGTTCATAGTGATATGGATTCACACAGACACTATCACATTTTAAGTCAAAGGCATACTGACAGTATTTAACATGTTTTAGTTCATTTTTATGAAGATCAGGCCACCTCCAGAGACGAGCATAAATCACATGAGGAAATCCTTTCCGACCAGCAACCTAGGAAAAATAAAGGAGCATCAGTTACATGTCAGACATTATGTAAGAAACTCATTTAATATTCACAATCCTACAAAGTATTATAATCCCCATTTCATAAATGAGAAAATTAAAGCTTAAAATAACTAACTTGGCCATGGCACACATCAGAGCTAGAATTAAACCTAGGTATGACTTTAAGGCCTGTGCTCAGGTTTTAAAAATGCAAAAAGAATTTGTTGTAGAAACTATGCCTAAAATTTAGAAATGAAATTTTAGAATCTAATGACATAAGATTTCTGTAAGTTTCTTTTAAGCACAGGAAATGTATTATGTAGTTCTACATGAAAAATATGACCATTGAAACATTTGATATCAATGCAACATGATATCGGATTTCTAAATTATAAAAGGAATAAGTACAATTCAGATGTTTAAATGTTCATACAATACCAAAAAAGAAAAACAGCTACAAGAATGAATACCAAAGTGCTAAAGGTAGTTCTCTCAGAGTGTGGGTTTTCTTCTGCTTTTTATTTTTATTTTCCAAACTTTCTTCATTGAACTTTTTTTTGAGTCAGAACATTAAAAAACTTTTAAGACATATCTTTTGGATATTCTTCCACATATTCCCACAATGCATATTGGTACAGGATGCACAGTATCTGAAGAGATGGAGCACGCATTAAATTATCCTATAATAACTTAAAAAGGAAACAATTTTTTAAAATCTGCCACCACGGAAGACATAGAAAAACTCTAGTATAAAACTAACCTGAAGCCTTCCATCCAATGTTCTCTGTATGGTAACACATTTACTAGGATGAGCTCCATTTGTAGTTATAGCTGTTATTAAGGAATCCAATTCATCTTTTTTCTCCTTCAGCTTCTTTACCAAACTTTCAATTGCTCTTTTTGCAAATGTTTCACTCTCTCCACCTTGTCTATGGCACATCAAACTATGCACAATGCTCAGACAGGCATCATTACTTGTTGGTGTGTTCGTAATAGACATATTGTCCATTTGTTCAAGTTTTTTCTTTTAAATCAAATATATCTCCAATTTCTGGAGCAACTTTTATCTTTCAGAGGCAGTGAAAAACAATGGCTAACGATGCAGGGACGACTGTTAGACATGTATTCAGGATAACCTAAAAAAAAAAAAAAGAAACAAAGATATAAGAACACATTTCACAAAGTAGATTCAATTATTTGGGAAAAGACAAAATTGCTCCAGTTAAGTCAAAGACTCAGTATACATAATTAAAATTTGATGCTTAGAGTTTAAAAGTACTTAATTAAAACATTGCCATTTTTGACATTCCAAAAATATTAAAGTTAGGTCTTCTCATTATTATGGAGGCATGCTCAATCAAGTCTTACTGACTGTACAAGTCACTTTAAAGTAAAATCTTAGTAGGACTTTTTAAAAGATTACTTATAAGGATGCACACTTTATAAAATATTCTTTATTAACAACTAATTAAACCTAAAAATCTATCACTAATATATATTATGAAAAACTCACCATCATCTGCTACAAAATGCTAGTTGGCAGTTAACACCCACCTCAGTTAAGAGACTACTGACAATAACAAAAAGACAACCCAATTTAGAAATGGACAAAAGAATTCTAACAGACATTTCTCCAAAGATCATAGCCAACAGGCACACAAAGATGCTCAACATTAGTCACTAGGGAAATGCAAATCAAAACCACAATAAGGCCAGCATGGTAGCTCATGCCTGTAATCCCAGCACTTTGGGAGGCCAAGGCAAGAGCATCGCTTGAGGCCAGGAGTTCAAGACCAATCTGAGCAACATAGACTCCCATCTCTACAAAAACTTTTAAAATTAGCTGGGTCTAGTGGTGTGTACCTGTAGTTCCATCTATTTGGGAGACTGAGGCAGGAAGATCACTTGAGCCCAGAAGTTTGAGGCTTCAGTGAGCTATGATGATGCCACTGCACTCTAGCCTGGGTAACAAAGAAAGACCCTGTCTCATAAAAACAAACAAAACAAATAAAACCCACAATGATATACCACTTAATACCTACTGAGTTCGATAAATCAAAATGACAGTAAGTATGGGAGAGGAAGGAGAGAAACTGGAACCCCTACACATTCCTGGTCGGATTACAAAATGGCACAGCCACTTCCAGAAAACAGTTTGACAATTGTACAAGATATTAAATAGTTACCATATGACCTAGCAATTCCACTCTTCACAATGCTACCCAAGAGAAATGAAATCCTATGTTCACACAAAAACTCATACGTGAATGTTTTAGCAGCATTGTTCATAACAGCCAAAAAGTAGATACAACCCAATCGCTATCAATTAACGAATGTACAAATAAAATGAAATTCCAAACAGGAAAAAATTATTCAGCCATAAAAAAAATTTAGTACTGACAACATGCTACAACAGGGATACACCTAGAAACATATGCAAAGTGAAAGAAACCAGTCACAAAAGGTCACATCTTGTATTATGATCCCATTTATATGAAAAATCCAGTATAGACAAATCCATAGAGACAAAAAGTAGATCATTGTTGCCAGAGGCTGAGGGAAAAGAGAATAAGGAATGACTGCTAATGAATGTAGGGTTTCTTTGGGGGTAATGAAAATGTTCTAAAATTGATAGTGGTGATGGTTGCACAACTCTGTACTTTACTAAAAGCCACTAAATTGTATGTACACTTTTTAAAAGTAAATTTTATGTTATTTGAATTATATCTCAATAAAGCCACTATTTAAAAAGAGATCACTGAATTCCTCAAAAGTTTTTACCTATAAAAGCAACAAGGTAAATTATTTTCCAGAAAAATTAAAATACTGAAATGAATATTAATGAAGAATCCATTCAACACGTTGAAAACTAAAGCAACTTTTCTAACCTCAGATCCCACATGGAATAGAAAAAGGCCTAAGAAGAAAAATGATAAAAACAGGATTGGAGCCTGTACTTTGTATGCTGGATTGTATTTTATTTGTTCACTGATGTTGTTGCATTCCAGGCTTATTTTGCTTTTATTTTCTTTTGCTATTTATTCGAATCTTTACTCTCTTCCAAAATTAATAAAACTAACTCATCATTTTTCTACCAAACCTATTCTTCTTCTGAAGACCTTTATTTGTTAAAGCATCAATTCAACTCAATTACCCAGCCTTGGAAAGTTTAGCAAATCACCTCTGGTCTCTCTCTTTCTTCCACTACACCACTCCCTCACAAAGTTACAAGATCCTTTATCTTAGTCATTTCTGTCTGTGTCCTCCCTTCTTTCCTTCTTTTTCTTTTTTTGAGACAGGGTCTCACTCTGTCACCTCAGCTAGAGTGCAGTGACATCATCATAGCTCACTGCAACCTCAAACTCCTGGGCTCAAGCGATCCTCCTGCCTCCCGAGTAGCTGGGACTAAAGGTGTGTGCCACCATGCTCAGATGATTTTTCTATTTTTTATAGAGACAGGGTCTCACCCTTGCTCAGGCCAGTCTGGAATTCCCAACTTCAAGTGATCCTCCCATGTCGGCTTCCCCTTAAAGGGCTAGGATTACAGGTCTGAGCCACTACGCCCAGCACTGTCACCTCCTTTCTATTCTCACTGCCACTGGTGGTATAGTTTTGAGCCTCCTTAGAATTTATAGCAATCACTTAGTATTTAATACTTCTATTGTTATCCTTTTTACATAAATGCCTGTCTCTTCAACTTATTACAAGCCCCATGCAAAGCAGCAGGTTTTCATGTCTTGTAGCACTCGCTCACATTAAATGCATACATGTTGACGATACACCTTCCAGATAAACAAAGATTATCATGGGGGATTTTGGAATCAGAGGTCTGGATTAGAAAGCCAGCTTTCACATCAAGTAGTCAGACAAATGAAGTTACTTAAATTCTCTGAACTCTGATTAAAAAGGCTTACAGAGCTCAAAGGAAGAAATCTACATTAAAGTGCCTGGCACATAGTGTTAAGCAGAAAGTAGCTATTGTCTGAATATTAAAATGTTTATTTTAATTGTTGGAAAAGAAGATTTTTCTAAAATACATTATGCATTTTTATGCATTTTCTATTAAAAATTGTCAAGGAAAATGTAGGAGGGCAGGGAGAGAAGTAAACCACTAATCTAGGACTCACAACTCAAAGGCACACAGGAGGCAGGCAAGTTACATAAATGAACAGAATGTGCCCAGCGTAAAGAAAGATACTGAGGAACAAATGCATACCCATCTAAAGTGGGTAGCCACTACTTACTTCCAGAAGTGGCATTTGAGAATGCTGGCCCGCTGCTGCCAGATCTTCAATTTAAAGAGAAACTAAAAATTGGAGTGTGAAATCTCATTTTTTAGTGTTGGTGATTTATTTATGGGGAAAGGAAGGAAAGGAGAGGGACTGAGAGAAACCAATGTGCGTGCCAAACAAAACACAACTTCAATTCAAAACTGACCCAAGAGAACTACCAGTTTGAAATTTCTGAATGCCAACCTTACAACAATTTTAATTTCTAGACTGAAAGCTCTAGGGAGACAGAGACTGTACTTGTCTTATTTATCATTATATGCCCAATTCTTACAACCGGTAAGTGCTCTATGTTGTCCAATGAATGTATCTCTGTATGTGCTTTCAGATGTCTGCTCATGCTATTTCTTTTGCCTAAAACATCCAGACCCATTTTATTCACTCAGTAAAGTCCTGGCCATCCTTCAAAATGCAACTTAAATATCTCCATTTCTCCAAGAGTTTTCCCTAACACACTCTCTCGTGTCTCCTCTCGATCCCAAAGAGCTGCTTGTGGTTTACTGTGCAATTCCTAGAATGTTACCTGGCACCCTCCCTCAAATTTAGAACACACCTCTATTACAATTTAACATATTACATTATAGTTATTTGATTGTGTATTTGTCACATACTGTTGCCAAAAAGTCTAGAAGTTCAAGAAAACAGCAATACTCTTTCATCTTAGAAATTCCCAGCACCTGCACAATTCCTGAGAAACACCACGAAAGTGTTTGTGGATTGACTACAGCTATTCTGTAGAATTTTTTTACAATACATTTTGAACAGTGCAAACACTTTTATTGAACTCGTTTTCTGATACTATATTCCAAAAGATATGTATTAATTTATAATGTAATTAAAGTGTCTGACTGTAAATATTTCACCACAATCTCACCATCAGATGTCATCATTTCTAAAATTCATGTTATTTGGGGGCCTAATGGTATCTCAAAGGTTGTTTTTTTTTTTTGTTTTTTTGGTTTTTTTTTGAGACAGAGTCTCACTTTGTTGCCCAGGCTAGAGTGAGTGCCATGGCGGCAGCCTAGCTCACAGCAACCTCACACTCCTGGGCTCAAGCGATCCTACTGCCTCAGCCTCCCGAGTAGCTGGGACTACAGGCATGCGCCACCATGCCCGGCTAATTTTTTCTGTATGTATTAGTTGGCCAATTAATTTTCTTTCTATTTATAGTAGAGACGGGGTCTCGCTCTTGTTCAGGCTGGTTTTGAACTCCTGACCTCGAGCAATCCACCCGCCTCGGCCTCCCAGAGTGCTAGGATTACAGGCGTGAGCCACCGCGCCCGGCCTCAAAGGTTGTTTTAATTTCAAGTTTCTTTAAACATGAATGAAAATGGCCTTGCTTTCTTAAACACAGCTTTCTCATCTTTCTCTTTGTTGTATTCTTATGACCACAAGTTCCTGAAACATAAGGAAAAGTTCCATGTATAAAAAATCATACCAGCAGGAATGTATAGATGTATTACCTACATTAAAAATGACTGGAGATTATGGAAGTATGATAAATAAGGACATAATACTGGTATAAATAAAATTATGTATTCTAATTAAAGTTCTAACGGCATGCATGAATAGACATGTTAACTAACATCTCTTGAAATTCTCTCTTCCATAAAATGGGAACACTATCTGCCCTGACAACTTCACAGACTTACTGTGGTAATTAAATGCAACTCAGCAAACACTGTATGTACATATCACATACAAAGCACTACAGATACAAAGACAAGCAGCACATAATCAGAAAGTGGATCTCAACTCTCTCAGACCAACATCTCATTTTTTCCTAGCAATTTATTACCTCCTTTGCTAATCAAAACAAAATTCTAAACTACTTACTCGTATTTTTA